AGGCCCAGCGGGGGCGGAGCGCCGCCGGCTCCTCCTCGCTCCCGAGCCCCGTGGCCGTGTTGCCGAGATGGATTCCGTTTGTCGGCGGGCACACACTTCAGATGGAGTCTGAGAAGGTGGGCTTGTTGTTTTCCAGCAAACATACATGCGTGTTATCTGAGAACGCCAGGCTCAGCCTGAGTTGAGCCTGGCGTGCGGTTTTCTCATGATCCAGCCGGTATTGTCTGTTCGGTGGCATGAAGTGTCACAGCGGCCAGGAAGCCACTGCTTTGAGAGGCTCCCGCTGCTCCCCGCATGCCAGCTCTCTACGCCTTTCTTCAATTCGCTCAAGATCGCGGTTGGGATCACACAACCGGCGTCGAGTGTTTTGTCTTTCGTGCTGTCTCCTCGCATCAGAATTCCCCGGAAGGGCCACCAAGCCTTCTTCATGGCTCCTGTCCATAGTTTTTGTTTTCCTGGACTTCATCGTCCCGTCGCGCTCACGTCTTCGCATGTACGAATGACCCTCATGATCCCATCCTTTTTTCATGTTCTGGCACGTGGTGTCCGAATCCTTGGACCCTCGTCAGATGATGCAGCAGGTCGAAGGGTGGGCGGACGAGTTCGGTGGAGACTACGAGATTACGCTTATCGGGAAGAGGGTGATTTTTGTCACGGACCCCGAAGACATCCACCGCATTCTTCTCCTCCGCCCTTCCAAGTTCAAGAGGGGTTGGCGTCCGGTAAGGTTTTTCGTTGTCGAAATTCCGTACAATCAACAATCGTTTTGAGCCGATGAAATGTGTCGCTCGCGTCAAACATGGGAAGCCTGTCTCGTATCCATCTTTCCGTTGTTGGTAATCCGAGCTCAAAGCTTACGGCAACAGAGTACCTTGACGTTCGAGGGGAGATCATGACGCACGTTTCGTATATGTTCTGCTAATATGATCAGACTAAGCACACTCCTGTCTACTTCGGGCGTAAGGATGGTGACCCCCCGCGGTGTACGCCCCCACACACACACGTAAATGCCCTCTGGCCGTTGTGACCGTACTTCTTTGCATCTACTTCCCTCCGCTTGCTTTGCCTGTCTTGCCTGGTTGGCTGCTCGTGCTTGCCTGCTGTCGTGCCTACCCCCCCCCAACTCTCCGGATATGGCCACCAACCGCGACACTCTCGAACGGGCTTCTTCGCCGCGCCGACGCGACCCCGTCCCCCACCGACGACAAGTCACAATTCCCATGGATGTCGAAAAAGGTAGGGGTTTACCCGTCCCTTTTCTTCGAAGAGGGCAAAGAGTGGGGCCGGTCGAGGCGACTCATAGCGCCGTTTCTCAGCGGGCACAAGAGCGTTGCTGGCATGGTTCCTTCCATCGCGAAGGTGAAGGGTGTTCGGCCAGCTCTCCATGCTTCTCGCGAGGCTTCGTTGTGAAAATGACAGCCTTTCTTTCTTGCGTGCTCTCTTTGAGCGTGTCTTTCTTGGGCATGTTCCGGGCGTAGAGTGTAGATGCCGCAGTTGATTTTCTCTCTCTGCGCGTTGCACCTCGCATCTCTTCCTCGTGTTGCAGGGCCTGTCGCCCACCCGAGTGTAGACATTAAGTGCCCTTAGTTTTCCTATAGGTCAACGTTGGCGCCACCGATTTCTGATTGGCCGACTGTCCTTGGGCGGCGAGCATCGTCAGCCTCGGTAGAACTGCCTCAATTCCGAACTTTACTACGGTAGTAGGAGGTTGGAGCTCGATTCTCTCCCTGAAGAAAAAAACTCGGAACTTGCCGGGGGAAATGTTCAACTCGGTGAGTATTCACACTTGGGCTTGACGGTGGACGAGGGGAGAGACGGTCGAACCCTAAAGAGGTGGGGCACTAAATTGTATCGCTTCGAACACAGCTCCTTTGTGCCCTTCCTTCCCCGTGCGTGCCCCTGACTGTTCCGTCAAACACTTGTACCGAAAGGCGTATACTCCTGTAGACTGGCGCCAGACTGGACAGACGGGACAAACCACATACCAAAGCAAGCTGTGTCTCGTGCCTCTCCCTCTCCGTTCGACCCGTAGATCGCTGAGCGGGTTTGCGCCAAGTTGGGGGATGGACAGGGAGAGCCCGTGGACTTCGTCCAGGAATTTGGTGAGAAATGAATAAAGAGATGCGCCGCCGGGAGATTAATCAATAATACCCCTGAACACATGTACTAGAGCCCTATTGATTGAACAGCGGGCCCATGCTTCTCTCGAACGTGTGGTGGCGCGGTGGACAGCTCGGCTCATGATTTTGCCTTTTTTCGTACCGGCGGCGCGGCGTCGATTTTGCGGCTCCTTACGCCAGACATACTTGTTGCCGCGCCTGGGCAGCTTCAGCTTGCTGCTTTCCGTTCTTTGGGTATCCTCGCATCTCACACTCTTCGCATGCGCGCGAGGCACCCTTGCACAGAAACCACATTTGCGAACAGCAGACTTTCGCCTCCCACGACCGCTCTCCGTGAAGATGTGAAGTACCAGCACAGAGGGGTACAACCGCCTGCTTTTTTTTTTCTGCTAGTATTTCTGTTTTTGTTTTTCTCTCTTTGTTGATGTGTTTTACTTACTCAAGAAGGTTCCATCCCGAGCAAGGTGCAAACGATATTATCTACATTTATTGCCGTTCTGTTTAATTCTGTGACTGGGTTAAACCCTCACGTGACTTGTGTTGCCCTGATTTTTTTCTTTCCAGCTGGCTCTCTGCGGTCAATGATCTGCCATGCATGCGTGTACACCCATTAATCACGGCGGCAAGGATGGTGCCGCAGTGGGTCCATGTGTGGGGCTGACAGGGATGGGCACGCGGTATTTGTAAGGGTGACGAACAGGAGGACATTGGTACTACCTACAGCAATAGCAGCTTTCGGGGAGAAATGTGCAGCTGCCTCCAACAGCAACCATCCGCGTAGAGAATGTACCTGTGTAAGCGATACCTGTTGGCACATCTTCTCCGCCTTGTCCTTGGGCAGAGCATACGGCAAAAGCGCAAATGTCAGCAGCGCTAGATGCGAACATATTGCCGGGAAACTGCCTACTAACAGCCCCAGATCGACAAAAAAACCCGGCCCAGTCGGGACCATCATCCACTATCGCACAAAATGAAAAAATATCATGGTACATTTTACAGTTCTGTAGAAAAAAGAGAACCGCAATCAGAGGTGTGGTCGGAGTTGTAGTCGTGAAAACCCTTGCCATTGAGCGAAAAGTTGCACACAGCAGACGAACCTCCCTTCACTCCCAATACTGGGAACCGCACGAACGGCAATCACAACATCAAGCACGGAGACAGTACGTTAGCATCGGCTCCGGTGTGCGTTTTCTCTGCTCTATATCGTGAATGCGGCACGGGGCCGATCACATGTTGAGGGTGCTGTGTGTACCCTCCTGTCGTATTTTGCGTTTTAACCTTGCAGCAGTGCCAGAAGGCAGTAGATCGAATCTCGAAACAATACCTGCTTCACATCAGAGAGATTAGGCATGGTGAATAGTTTTGTACTGTGTCTCCTGTGCGCATCGCTGATATTTGTGCTTGTGGGGTAGGCTGCCGCTTTGCCCCCCTGCTGGTCGCTATGTATGCTTTTTGCTCTAAAGCGAGGCACAGCGGCGATTTTCCGGCACGCACAGTGACCGGAGCTGAGAACGGAGCTGAATCGGCCTGTAGTCACAAAAGTCAACACCCGTGTATTTTTCTTCCTCGCATTGCCCCGCTGTTTTTCGCAGGGCGCTACACCCACGATGCGATAGCCCGCTCAGGCTTCGGCTTCGACGCGGACAGCGTGCGGGCTACCAAGGATCGCCCCAGCTTGTCGTTCGAAGCCATGGGTGGAATACTCGAGGCTGCCTGGGCTCTATCGGTGGATCCGTTGGCAATGTTAGTTATTTTCAGGGAAGTAGTGAGGGCAAGTTATCGTCCGTCCTCTCGGCAGCTGTGAAGCATGTTGTCGGCCTGTGCCCCGGTGCCGTCGGCGTGGCCCTGCTCGTGAGTTGAACAGCCTTTGCAGCATTTTGGCGTGCCGTTTCCTTTTGCTTTCGGATTGATACAAGACCGCCAAGTCCTTTCTCACTTGTATATTTTCATTCGTGTCGGTTCATTCGTGTTTTTTCCACAATTTTCCAATACTTTTTGGTTCACTCATTTTTGTGCACTCTTTATTTTTCACTCAATTGTGTCACTTTTTTTGGCTCACTCGTTTTTTTTCAGTTTTTTGTTGAAAGTGTGTGTTCCCTGGTTTTTCTTCCATCGTTTTTCACTCGATGGTTTACGCTAGCTTTTGAATCACTTGTTGTTGTCCAATGTATACAGTATCACGTTTACCCGCTTTTCACTCTTTGCGGCAGTTCGGGTTCACTTGAACACATTGACTCGCATCACCTGACGCGTGTGTGTACACTCAATATTTTTCACATTTTGTTCACACTTTCGTTCACTCGTTGGCGCTGACTAGTTTGCATTTTCAGTCGTTTTCGGCCACTCGTTTTCGTCCACTCGTGTATCTTCACTCGTTTTCATTCATGCATTTTCTGAACCTTTTTTCACTGCCCGAGCGTAAGATTCATGTGGCGAATGCTCTCACAGTGAGGTCGGGTTCGTAGGGCAATATCGGTCCTATTTTAAGAGATGATGTTGACTGGTGTGTCACTATTGTGACGTGATTTGCCGGAATACCGGGCAGGTTGACGTGGTCGACTCTGTCGTCGTGGTCGCCTTGGGTCCGAGCGATAAAGGAGAAATCTTCCAGGATCGAACGCGTGGTCGAGGTGAGAGCGAAGATCGTTTCGAAGAATGGTCGAGTGATAGTTCTTGGAGGATGCAGCAGGCCTTATGTTGCTCGGAAGGGTTATCCTGCCGCACGACAACGTGTGGCTGCCTGCCTGCTTTCGAGCACCAGCCATGGTTATATCTCTGCTGCTTGGTTTTTTTGTCGTATTGTCTTGCATGTCTTGCCGTTATAAAACAATCGAGCGAGGCCCTCCACCACACCGTACTCTTGGCACCATTGGGTTGAAGGGGACCATCGACAAGACTCGGAGCGAAATGAAAGAAGCCGGCGCTAGCCGCCCCGCGGGTGGCGGGGAGGGAGCACTCCTGCGGAAGCTTCTGTCCGTCGAAGGGGGCAGCGACCACGCCATCAAGGACGTCAGCAACCGCATGACGCTTTCCGACGAGGAGATCGTGACGCAGAGCAAAGGGTGAGTACCGCATCAACCGTTTCCCCTGGAGCAGAGCGAGAACAGAGCACGCACTATCACGGCAGGGCTCAGGTCCCTGAAGTCAGGTTGGTGACTGGCACACACAGCTCGTAGGCCGATTTTCAAAGTATAGCTCGGATTGCTCCACGATCGTTGACAAGTTTCGGGCGGGATATGAATGGTGAGAATGGACGATGTGCTGACCTTACCCCCCTTCACGTTCACAATAATGAAATATCGTTTTAAGGCAGGAGTGGCAGTGTTGTTTTACGTTCCAGCCCCTCCATTGCCTCCTGCTGCTTCTAGGCCATTTCGGCCTCATCTTTTCTAATATTGGCACCCATTGACAGGTTTTGCATCGTGGTTCCCTTTTTTCCCCCGGTGCTGTGTTTCGATCGGTAGGGGTTTGTCGACCCTCGTCTTTTCGTACACAAAGTCGACTTCCAACCGGTAACCCCTTCGCCCTCGTCACGCGTTCCACCGTGCTGTGTCGCTCGCGATTTCGAAGCCTGTTCCTTGCGGGTTCAGAGACGACGGCGAAGACGCTCTCGTGGGCGGTTTACTTTCTGGCCAAGCACCCCGAGATGCACTCCAGGTGTCGCGAAGAGGCCCTAAGAGCGGCGCCACTCAGGCGAGGACCCGTTCTTGAAGTACTGCATTCCCTGCTTTGTGGACGCACATGTTTTTTCAAGAAATCGTCCCCAACAGCAAGGGGGGGCGTGTCCTGGAAACCTTGTTTTTGAACCCATGCTTCTGGAAAGGATGGCGCCCTTGAAGGGGAATATCCTTGATTTTGTGTCCTCGTGAGGCGGGGGCCACCGTTGTAATTGCTGTCGTGGTACGATGTACAATGCAATATTTGTCAGGGATTGTCAGCGTTGTAGCTCCTTCGTCACGCAGTCTGGCTGTTATGGCCCTCAAGCAATGGGGCTCCTCCCTCGGGTAGCATCACACATTCTCGATGTTCCCGATACCACCTACTATCGGAAGGCTGCAGTCGAAGCATTAGCATGTACTTGGGACAAGCACTTACGCAGAAGGCAGTGAGATCAACATTTCCTCGATAAGGAGCATCCTCGCGTTCCTCATCGTGGAGGATATTCGTATCGTGGAGAATATTGATATCGTGAGCTGTTTGCATTCCACGTAATCCTTGCGTCACCGACCGTGATTGTTCGTGCGCCGGCGCTGCGTTGTGGCGGAGGCAGCGATGGCTTAGTGTCTTCCAGCGAGCAGGCGTCTCAGCTGGTGTATTGCTCCGCGGTGTTTGAGGAGACACTCAGGCTTCGCCCTGCGGCAACGGTGCTGTTCCTTTACAACACGGTAGGCTGAGGACATGCTGTATCGTCGTGTGGAACATACAACAGGAACAGGAATAGTTTGGTACAGTTGGTCTGGCCACTTGTTATGTAAACCCACTGGAAGTCTTCAGTTCGGTCACATCCGTCGCAATTCATCGGTCACTCGGTCGTGCATTGATCTGCTATAGAGGAGCTCCGACCCGCTAACAATACAGCGGAAACTGTCAAGAGCGTTCAACGGCTCTGGGTAGAATTTGGCTATCTCGCGTGTGGAAGAAGAGCGAACATCGAGAGAGCGTGCACCACGACACGTCGCTTCCAGGAAACCACCACAATGAAAAGCGGGTTGGAGCTCGAGGCCGGCACGGCGTTCACCCTCCTCCTCCGGTATCCCTGTCTCTCGGAGCACTCGTTCACAAGGGCAAGAGAATTCGTGCCCGAAAGGTGAGCTCTGTCTCTTTGCACCTCCCTCCGTCTCTCTGTCTGCCACTCTCTCTCGCATTCTCTCTCTCGCATTCTCTCTCTCTTTCTCTCACTCTCGAAGACGTAGGCTGTTCCACTGGTGCACTTTCCAGTACTGCACAAGTAGTACACGTGGCGTGGACGGAAGTGCTGGCTTGCGCGATCAACGCAATGGCGGCGATCGCTTTTAGTGTAGCATGGAACATCTGTTTAGTGCGCTTCGGAGGGGCAGGGCGAGAACGTGTTTGACGACCGCTCATGGCTTTCTCGTACCTCCGTTTCGTCGGTTGCTGCGAAGTAGACCCTTGGCCAAGGCCACCTTTGCCTGGAAATGGTCTCCACATCCTGCGAAACGCCTGCGCCGCGCTTGCTACATGCCAAGCTCTTGGAACGGTCCTCGAGGGTGTTCACTCACCAGTCCTATTTGCACCCTCCAACCGTCCTGTTTGCGTGACTTCCACGACGTTTTCGCGGAACAAGGTGGATTGATGCTGAGCGTGAGGAGGCTCTTTTGGGCCAATCAGCGGACCGGAAGAGCAGCGAAGTCGTTCACTGCGAAGAGGTAGCGCAGGCCTTTGGTGGAGGGCCCCGTAAATGCCCCGGAATGGTGAGTGTTCTTCCGCTGAAACGTTTGGTCCCGCACATGTGTCTAACCGAACCATCAATATATATGGTTGTTCGGAAGCTGCTGACCGCTGCTTTGTTGTTGGCCGACATGGAGAAGCTGTGGGCTTGCTCAGGGTACCGCTAGCGTTTGAAGAACCTCAGACAAGCCACGAATGGAACTTGAGAGGGAAAGCGAACGGCCACCTTAGACAGAAGGCGCGTTGGCTGAGAACGAGAAGGTCTTACAGCCGTATATTATCTCCTTTGCTATTGACGAAGAAGATTGCGGTCGACATTGACTGCTGACGTCAGTGTACTCCGCTGATTGTTGTACCCTCTCTGTGTTGCTAGGGCATGGCACACCTCGAGGCTGCCATTATCCTTGCAGCCATATCCGCTCGCTTCGATCTGGCCCTGGCACCAGGACAGGTAAGGCCTGGTCGTTGGGTGGGTAACTTTCCACCCTACTGTGTCCGCTGGAGGAGGATTTGAGTATCAATGAGGGGAGTGTCTTGCAGCTAAGCGGACTCTTTCAGCACATCTCGCCCGCACATGGGGGTTTGGGTATCAACGAGAGGAGTGCCAAACTCCCGAGAGAGCTCTGTGCGCGGCCTCTCACCAGGCTTCATCATCTCTAAAAGTTTTTTTGCTGGAGATGCCGCCTAAATATTGGTGGTGCTAGGTACCGGCCTGGTTTACCGAACGAAACCTGTGTTTTGTTTTCGTGTGTTCCCCATCAGACGGACCCTCCGGAAGAGGTGTTCAAGTTCACTACCGGAGTCGAGAGCCTCAAGCTGGTGTTGACGAAGAAAGTGGCTTGAGTTTCCCTGGAAAAATCGTACGGTTCCAAGGACCGGTCTACCGACCGCGCCGTCAAGAACGGGGCTTTTTCCCACGCGCAGGTAGTTGAAATGGCACAGGTGCGGTCACCCCTACAGGGTCGCAACGGCAACCACCAAAGGCTTGCGCCGGTGGGTGTTTCTCGCATCTGAAGAGCGGGCGCCAAAACTCGCCTTGATTGGAAACGGGTTGATACCTACAGCTGCGTAGGTTGTGGAAGCAGCTTTTGGCAATCCACGGAGTTCCGATGTATTGGCAATGATGGAGGCGGTATTGATGGATGGCTGGATGACATGGAGATGCATCAACACACGCGAGTCTGTCAACTGGTAGGGCCGGGAGTGCCCTGGGCAACACGGATGTCGTGCGCGGATCTATCGTAGTTCAAAAGGTATCGATAATGTCTGAGATTTTTGTGCTTTTTCTTGCATAGCCTGATTTGGACGTCAAACTTTCGGGACATGTAGAGGCGGGGTAACGCGGGATGGAGGCTATAGAGGAGGTATTTTTTCTTCTCTATATTCTTCTTGCGGTCACCGAGGGTGTAGCAGGTTCGTCGTTACGTTCTGCATGGTTCTGTGTTAAGGAATGCAGATGTGTTGTCTTGGAAGGGGGTCGGGCAGGACAACGGGGTTCTGATTGGCTACAACTGAGGACCGCGTTATGTTAGGTAGAAGACATGCAAACAGTGTAAGAGAAACTCCTGTTCGTGATAGTTGCTGTGTGTGTCGACAGAGTGACGTAGAACAACTTGATTGGACATATTGCATTGCGGGACTGTCTGCGTTGAAGATCGTTGAGTAGCCACATATTATCAGAACAGCAAGGAACGTTCTGTGGGAATGTTCTTCGTGGATGGTGCATTACCCCGAGTGTGTTTCTTGTGGATAGTGCATCAGTCAGAGGATTCATGATACGTTGTGATGTACGTTAGCCCCTGTCTGTTGAGTGTTTGTGTTCCGATATCATTGTGTTCTGCTTTTGTGCGTTGGTCGAGCGACACGGGTGGTGGCTGCGGTGCTACGGTGCTGTGGTGCTCCCCACCCTTGCTCAGTTCACCTTTTGACCTGTTCTCCTGGTCCAAGGTCTCAACAATAAAACATCTTTTCCCCAGAAGCCACGAGTTTACCAACAACTCCCACGCCGAACCCTCCGATGCCACATCAGCACAAGGCTGAATTTCGGCCCTTTAGGGGGCTGAGGTCATGAGAGGCACGCTCTAGGAGAACCGCAGATCTACATTACAAATGACAGGGAGGAGGGAACCCTTCCTACCAAACAAAGTTACACTTCATCGCATTGGTTGCAAATGCTCTCCTTGCGTACTACTTCGTATACTATTTTGTCTTCGAGAGCCGCTTGTCGTTGATCTGTGGCAGAGGGCCTCGCGAGAGGAAGAAACTCGTTTTGGGCGATAGCGACTTTGGCGTAGGCGGTAAAACCTAAGCGATTGATTGTCCGCGGTATACCGGAACTGCCCACCAGGGCGCCATTTCACGGCGGTAAATTACCGAATAGTCAAAACCCTCTTGTCTAAAGTGGTATGTGTGTGTATGCCGTATCTACCCCACCAGCTGTATCTCGCCCTTTAAGACTCCAATCGACACGGGACATTGACGAGTGTGTTGCTGAGTTGCAGGACTATCATCGTGGCACACGTGAAACAGGGTACACTTCTTCGGTGCTGCTACGGGTGGGCAGTGGGGGAAGCGGCAGCACCTTACCGGCAGGGCAGATGCCTTGGTTACACCGCCACCTGGATCTCGCTCTACAAGACTTCGATCGATGCAAGCATAGCACCCAACAGCGTCCAGCAGCTGAGGGGGGCAAGAGGTGCAACAAGACTCTACAGAGAACAACCAAACTCCTCCAATTGACTCGAGTGGAAACCAACCAACGCCTTCTCTTCTTTTTTTGCGGGCAAGGTGCATGCCTTCAACAGCCAGCAAAAACATTTGAGACCCGCTGCTGTCTCTCGCGCTCTGCAAGATTCCGCTTCAACACAGGATACGCACAAGTGTATTGCGGCGTTTAGCCATCCATAAGGTGGTACTGCTGTACCCACTAGAAAGCCGGGTAGCTCGTTAGGGTGTCTATTTATTGTAGACATCCGTTTCCAGATCACCACACGTAGCCGTGGAGTCCGAAGGCGGGGCATGAGTTTTACACACGCTGCACTTTGGTCATCATCGACAACGGACAGCAGTACTTCCGCTCCTTGTGTCGGCACATTGGTAGACTCTATGTACCTGCTCCTTACGATGACACTCATTGGAGATGCGTCAAATTTTTCACCGAGGGTCGTGGGAAACCTGCTGGACATTGGACTTGGACTTATTGGGTATGCATTGATGCCGTACTTCGTGCTGTCCATGTTCTACCTGATACCAGGTGAGACCCCAACCCTAACCCTCACCCACGGCCAACGCACGGCGAAGTGGACGCGAAATGGGTCAGGACGCGGCTGCGCCGAGTTCGAATGCGGCGCGAGAGCGCTGGACAAGTTAAGGTTAGGAATCAACGCCCGCCAATCAGACGACGGCAAGAAACATGAAACCGCATTATAGTAGATTGCAGAGGAAGCAGTTGTCACGAACAGACCAACAGACCAACAGACCAACAGACCAACAGACCGTACATTCCCAACATAACATGCAGATAGATGCACAAAATGGGTACCACATTCTGTCTTGTTGACTGTTGAAAATACTCGCTGCTGACCTTCATGACGGATGCTCTTCAACGGGATTACGACATGGTTGCGACAAGATGTCTCGGCAAACCGCTCTGAGGAACACCAGGGAAGTTGACAACAATGGCCACATTGGATGTATATCACTTGAACACTTTCCGTGCTCTACTGATGCTGATTACCAACACCAAACATACCAGGAAACCAGCTAACATGATACAAACTGAACGCTATGCCCTACCTACCATGCACCAGGTGTACCATTCTCTTCTACTGTTGTTGTTGTTGTTGTTGTTGTCTTCACATTAAAAACCATCCCGGTCTCTCTATCCAGTACCTCCTTCTGTCTCAATCTCTCCGTACTAATCCATCACTTGACTCGGCCAATTTCCGTGGTCACAGGCTAACGTACCTAGAAAAGGTATACCAAAATAAAATGGACCCCAAGGGTCAGCAGAGCGATAAAATACAAGA